CCACGGAAGCTTTAGTTTTTCTTTTTGTTTCTAGCGATGGCTCCTGGAAGTGTCCTTTAGGCTATTTCTTGGTAAATTCTTTAAATGGAGAAAAAAAAGCAGAGCTCGTTAAGCAAGCATTGGCTCAGCTCCATGATGCTGGCGTGAGAACGTATTCTGTTACTTTTGACGGAGCATCTGCTAATAGCAAAATGATATCAGACCTGGGTTGTGATATCAGTGATACAAATAAGTTAAGAACTTGGTTCAAGTGCCCGTACAGTGGTAACAAAATTTATGTGTTTTATGATTTTTGTCATATGTTCAAATTATTAGGGAATCTGCTTGCTGATCGCGAGGAACTAATCGATGATTCGGGAAAGAAAGTTGAATGGGAGCTCTTGGTGAAACTGTTCGAATACCAAGATGTAGAAGGCTTACACCTTGCAAATCGTAAAAAGAAACAGCACATTTATTTCGGCCATCAAAAAATGAAAGTCAAGCTAGCTAGCCAACTATTTAGCGAGTCAGTGGCAGATGCCTTAGAAGTTTGCAAAGAGATGAAGCTAGAGGGCTTCGAAACTAATGAAGGCACAATTAAATTCATTCGTTTATTAAATGATTTATTTGACATATTTAATACCCGCTATGAGACTTGTAAAGGGTTCAACGAACCCCTAAATAAAAGAAATTTTGCCAAAGTTAAATTTCCGTTGGAAGAGATAAAAAAATATCTAAAAGGTTTAAAGGTACTGGCTAATGGAAAGGAATTATCGATGAAAAAAAGGATCAAACAAGGACTAGATGGTTACATTCCTTTAATTGAGAGCAAGAGAAAAGTGGGACCTGTAGGATTCTTAATTTCCATAGAGAGTCTCATCGGTCTCTTTGAAGATGTATGCCACAGCGATAACCCATTGGAGAAAAGTATTTGCACCAACAGCCTGTGTTAGGATCACTTAGAATTATTTTGTGGGCTGATTAGAATGCGAGACGGATGGAATAATAATCCTACTGCTCGCCAGCTTGAGACATCTTATAATCGTTGCCTTGTGAACCTCAATTTGAAAAGCCCTGTTACTGGTAACTGCATTCAAGATGAGGAAATGCCAATTCTTGACTGCAGCAGCCGAGAGAAGAAAAAAAAAGAAGTACTTGAGAGCGAACCTAACTATGAAGACAAACTACAGTTTAATTTTGAGGAAGGTAGCATTTTCCTAGATCACATATATGAGTTGAGGCCTGAAGAACTGACTCCTCTCACCAAAATTATATGTGTTCACATCAGTGGCTTCGTCGTTAAGCGACTGATAGAAACTTTAAAATGTCCTGCCTGCACCGTTGCACTGAAAGAGGACCCAGTTGAAAAGGATAGACTCTTAGTAGACAAGAAAAATGAAGGTGGACTGATAATTCCGGGCAAAATAGTTGTGGATACTTATTGTTTTTCATTGCGAGAAAGTTGTACGACAACTTTCGGAAACAACTGGAAAAAAATTCATGAGGCTGAAATGCACTACGGCTCATCTATGTGACAGAATCATGAATTTCTACAAAGAAAAGCAGACTCCTGCAGAAACGTTCCAAGCCCTTAATAATGCTCAATTACCAGACCCAAATGCTGTACTTAAGCACAAATTTGGTCTCATTAAGAATATTGCAGCAAAATTCTTCACCCTCAGGCTTCGTCATATTGCATCAAACTGGATTGACACCTCTGAATCTCGCCGTCAGTTTTTCAACAAGCTGACTTTGTTCCATGGATACTGAACCCTCAAACTTTCAGACTCACTCATTTATTGTTTCATTTTTGTATGTACTGATTTTTTACAAGTGGGTGGAATTTTGAAAAAGCCAACTTTTATGGAGAGAAAGAACTATTCTGTTCAAAGAATTCAGCAGAGGTACTCAAAAAGTCCCTTCAACAAAATATTTTATCTTCAAAATTTAATTTTCATGATCCGTAGGATTATTTCCTGCGACATTTCTGTTAAATGTTAAGTTTTCTGAGAGATGCATCTTTTATAAATGTTTTCATCTCATGGTTCCTCATCATTAATTACAAAAGGAGTAATAATTTTCCTTAGTTAGTTCCTTCAACAGTTTTTAAAAATTAAATTTTAATTATTTATCATGAAAAAAACATTCAGAATTTAACCTAATCATTTTTAATGGTAAACTTTACAACCCGCTAATGAGTCGCTTCTTGTCTCCTAAAAAATTGGCTCTCTCCTGTGAAATGAAGCCGAAATAATCATTTGTAATAATAATGAGATGGAGCCACTAATGTTCTTCATTCTGTGTAAATCTTGCTTGTTTGCAGGTTTGGAAATTATACTTTTCAGAAAAATATAATTCAGCAATCATCAAACATCATGTGAACTGCAGGTATAAAATTTTTTCCCCTTACTTCTATGGTCCACTGTTTGTGAGAGTGCTTGGTTTTAAAAGTTCTTCCCTCCAACTCACCATTTCTCACTTTTGCTGATTTTTTCTACGGAAAGTCCCTTACTTTTTAACATTAATGACTTTTTTTCATTCATCTTAAAATTTTTATTTTGTCCCCATTTAATCTGTCGATTATGCAGACTCATCTCTCTTAAGAGCTGAACGATTGCTTTTCCTTTCTCAGTAGCTTGCAGAAAAAATCTGTTCAGAAAATAAAAGAGAAAAGTTACTAATTTTTGGTGATTTCATGCACTAATATTTGATGTTTTCTTATTTTGAACCTGTTCTTTGGTAACTGGTAATTTGGTGATAGATAAGAAAAATGCTGCTTGTTCTCCAAACAAAATACCTTTTCGACTATTTTTCCTCTTAACTATCTGACATTCATGCACTGGTGCGGAAAAATCTATCTAAGTTATGAGGTAACTCAGGACGTGCAGTTTGTGATATTCTTGATTTGCCTCTGTCTTTACCTTTCCAATCAGATCACTAAAGCTTCACTTTTCCAAGTTTCTTTTCTTCGCCTTCTGGCTTGGCACACAATAATTAAGCCTTATGAGAAATATAAAGAGTAAGTACATGGAGGAAGAACATGGTAAGAGACATGAGACCTTGTTCAAACTAAGTCTTTAATTTTGTTCAAAAGAAGAACTGGAGCAAAACTTTTTCCTAGTACATCGTTGAAAATGAAATGAAATTCCTCTGT